TTCTCCCACCGGCAGTCCTCACCCGGGCCAAGGGATGTATTCACCTCCTTCCCAATTTTGAAGATTAAGACAGATGTACAATACATTCAGAACATCAATCCTGAAAAAGCAGTGCTGAATGCGTTTACGTTGCGGAAAATAAGGACGCTAGGCCTCTGGCCTAAAAAGATCTTCCAAAAAAACACATCAATTCAAGACCTTGAGTTTGACCCATCAGAATGGGCATGGCGCCCAGAAAGAAATAGAACGGCCAAACCACCAATTCCAATATATGATTATACAGTTAACCTAGGTTATAAGATGTTGTTAAAAACAAAGGACCCAGACCCAATAATCAAAGGAAGATGGAGCAAATTAATTTGTTCTGAGGCAGACCAAATGGCAAAAATCCCATGGAAGAAGTACAAAACGATAAGACCTATAAAAAACAGAAGCATGCAATGGCTCATAACCTATGTGGCTCTACTGGTTAACCAGTGGCTACATGTCAGAAGAAGAAAGAACGACCCAACCAGCTCTGATGTCTGTTTAGTCTGCTCTGATCAACAACACGAAGACATGTTACATTGCCTAATTAACTGCAAAGAAGCCACAGAGTATTGGGCAAGAGCAGCAGCTCTTTGGGACAGTCTATTCCTTTCTCCCCTCCTAGAGCACCCACTCCAACTACTCCTATGGACTAACTTACCCTCTAACCTCGGCAAATCAGAGAAAATCTGGTTCGGGATGGTGCCAAAGGTTACGCTTTGGGCCATTTGGAAGGAGAGGTGCAGGAGAACACTGGAGGGCATGAAAAACCCACGGGAGAAAGTGTGGGCGGCAACCAAAGAGATGATTGAAGCGGAAATTCTATGTCAATGGAGGAAGGTGAAACTCCGGGTGCAGAACAGTCCAGAGACAGAACAGGCGACTCTTGCCAAATTCAGACGGGTATGGTTGGTTGATGACAAAGTGGCCTGGCTAAATGGGCACGCTTTAAGATGGAAAGAGTGGCACAACTCTGTCAAGTCTTTCAGCCGGATGAACACTCGGGTACACAAAGATCCTTTTCCAATCTGGGCGTAGATGAACATCCGAGAAGCACTTATGGCAGGCGACAGCAGAATCGTCACAGGGAATAGATGGAAAGATAGATTAAGGCGGTCTAGGGTTTAGGGCCAGGGTAGGTACAGAAACAAGATAAACAAGGAGCAGGAGGATACAGATGAAAAAATAGGGGTTCACGGTTCAACGGTTCAAAGAAGTGAGATGGGGTTTGGGGCTTAAGTGTGACTATTTAAAAGCATGAGTAGGAGAGCAACAACGGTGGTCCTGAAGTAGAGCCTTAGACACACAAGATTAGCTAGGGTTTAGGGTTTATGAATTAGGAGTCTCTTCAAAACTATAGCTGAGGGTTAGGGTTTAGGGTTTCGACATTCAAGGTAAACAGGGATCAGATTGGTAGGGATCTCACGTAGCATATGGGCGGGGATCAGAGGTTAGACAGAATTGACAGCCTTTGTAGTGTCCAGGTCCTTTCTTGCCATTCACGTTCTATATGATAGGCAATTATGGTGGTCCTGAGAGGAAAGGGAGAAGCAGGGCAAGCTGACAGTCGATCCTCCACGATGCTGGAGTAATCAATGCTGGTCAGGGTTCCTTCAGCCAGATGGAAGGAAGCATATGTGTGTTCATGATGTAATATTGTATTCTGACTTGCCGGTGGAATAGGAACCGGACTGATGCTCCCCAGAATGGAAATGGAGCCAGGGCCACCAAAGACCTGTTTAAAATATATATATCTATATATATATATACAGGGTTACCTGACCGAACGTTCGGGGGCCCCCGGGCTGGCCCCCGAACGTTCGGGCGTCCGGGGTCCCGTTTGGGGGCCGAACACCTCCAGGTTTGGCCCCCGCCAAAAAACATTTCGGGGCCTAAAAATAAGTTTTTTCTCTGAATTTTTTTTTTCGAGTTCTCTATGATGTAGCCTACACGCCTATAAATTTTGAAGCCATTCTGCTAAGCCAAAAAAACATGAAAAATCGTCAAAGATGGGGGTGTCAAAACGTGCTCGCCCACTCACTATTTTGTTTTTTTTCACTTTTAACTTTTTGTTTTCACTTTATTTCGGGGCCTAAACAATTTTATTATTTTTTGAAAAACAATTAATGAGTTATTGATTATGTAAAATACATGTCTGTAAATTTTCAGGGCATCTGTCAATGCCAAAAAATAATTAAAACTCGGCAAAGATGGCGGTGTCGAAAAGGTGCTGGCACACTCACTCGTTTTAATTCTCTTTTTATTTTTTCTTATTTTCATCATAGTGTTTATTTTCTGTATGTGATTTTTAATTCAAATTTGGTAAAGAATTTGGATGTAGTGCCCAGGCAAATGTTGTTTAGTTTATTTTTCTCCATAACATATTTGTTTTT